GTAGGATGGCCCTGTGCTCTGCAGGATGGCTCTGTGCTCTGTAGGATAGCCCTGTGTCTTGTTGGAAGGTGCTGGCCTTGCTGCTCTCACCTGGAGGTGGCACAGGAAAGGGCGAGGGCACCAAGAGAGAACCAGAGATGCTGTTTTCGTCCGTGTGCTGGGAGTGCCCAGGCCAGGCTGGGCAAGGGCTCTGAGCCTTGCTCCAGTGAAATGTGTCCCTGGTGGGAATGGGATCATCCTCAAGGCTCCTTCAGCCCCAGTCATTCTGTAAGACTTTGATACAGTGGCTGGGCAGTCAAGGCTGACCCTGCTGGAGAATTACAGTGGCTTTCAATACAGCAAATTTCTGCTGATTTTTTTCTTTCTTTTCAAAATATTGAAAAGCAGCTCCTATGTCTTTATTTGTTTTTGTTTTTATTCTTACTGCACTTGTGTATTTTTACTTAGGTGAGTGAAATAGTCAGCTCTCTTTGGGTGGCCATGGGAAAAAAATCTGCCTTTCTACCTGTTCTTAGTGGGGGACTTAGGTGTTATTGGAGGGATTTCCTCATGAAAGGAATGGTTTGTGACACCAGGCACTCCAGAGCAGTGGCAGCCTGGGTGGGCACGCAGAGTGTCCATATTGCTTTGTCTTATGATGTTTAAACACGTGACACAGCAGCCTCCAGGAGTGTGGGAGCACTCGGATTCCAGCTGTGCTAGCTCATTACACTGACTGTCCTGAGTGCTGCCGTTTACTCACAGTAGTAAACACTGTGCAGGAGCATGTACACAGGATCCAGGCTATATAAAATGATACAATTATGAGAACTGAGCAATGCTGAGAGACTGTGCTTAATGGAAAACATTTGCTGGAGAATTGTATAAAGCCACAGAAATGGGCAGTTCTTGGATGTCAGGAGGTTTTTTACCCAGATAAAACTCTGATAGACATTAAATGTCTGAGATTAACTATGATTCATTAGTGAACAAAACTGCAGAACTTGGGGGCCATTCAGCTCCTTTAAGACTCTTAGCAAGGGTGAAGGATGGCTGGCTGAGGACAGCCTCTGAAGCGTAGATTTCTGCTAAATCAATGGAAGAGATTTATCAAATTTCCAGTCATTTCCCAGGGCTTCTGCCAGCCCCCACAAACAGCTACTCTTTCATTCACTCTGTGCTAGAGACACATAAAAGGAGAGCATGCCGTGTTCTCTGGGGCTTTACACTTAAAGGCATCCAACTTTCCATTTTAGAAAGCAAAGAATGTAAACAATTGTTTTGTTTCTATGTCTGGCCAACGTAGAGCAGGTCTAGAATCAATAACAGAAAATGTTCCTGAAAGGCCCAGCAGACCTCAAAGAGATAATGTGAATTGTCCATTAACAGTAAGTCATTATGGAACTTATTAAGTGAAGCCTTGGGACTATCATAGAGCCTAAAGGTTGACATAAATTTTTCATACACATTGAACTTTGCTAAATGTGCTTGCATTTGATTAATGATTACTTTCTCCAGTGTGCTAATAAGAAGAAGGAATATGTGAGCTGGGGCTGCAGCGGGGAGAATGGGCTCCTGCAAGGAAGGGCAGGGTTGGCAGCAGGAGAACAATGGGCCTTTCTAGAGATGCCCTGCCAAGCTGGAGGGAGTTTATTACTCCCTGAAAAACTGCTCCTTACCACCCAGAGACAGGGCACTGAGCACAGCATGAAAGCCAATTTTGTAATTGTGGTAGTAAAAGCCTCATAGCTCCAAAACACTGGTGGAAAAATCCACCTCCCAGCCCCCTAAAGCAGTCATATATCACAAAGAACAATCCAACACCCCAACCTCAGCCCCTAAAGCCCCCCATACATCACAAAAAACAACCAAAAACCCACCTTCAGCCCCTAAAGCCCTCATATATCACAGGGAACAATACAGAAGATCTTCATATTCAGCAAGAGAGAGGAGTGGTGTATCTGCAAGTCCTGCTGGAGACAGAACTGCAGGAAATTTGCCTTGGCAGCAAATGCAGTGAGTCATGGACTCATGGAATGATTTAGGTTGGAAAAGAAGACAACAACAACAAAACAAAGCCTTCACTTGCAGCTAGGTCTGGACAACAGCATATGGATTTGTTCAGTTAAAATAAACATGTTTTTCCCTTGTTTGGAAGTAGAACAAAAAGGGAAAGCAATCAACAACCTCAGTCCAAAGCAGTCACAATGTCCAAGACTCTTTCACTAACCACCAAAAATGCAAGGCATGCCCTAAAATTCAATTAAAATTGAATTCTTAAAAATCCTACAGGGTAAGTTTTTGGGATTATTTTTAAATTTCTAGTTTTAAAGTTGCTAAAGGCCTAAAACTTTTAAGCTTTTGTTTTATTTTAAAAGAGCACTCCTTTGAACAAGAGTCTGCCAAACAGCCATAGCAAAGAGGACTCAAGATGAAGCCTTCTCCTGGCTTAGATAGCTGAGCAATCAGGTATTGGTCCTGATTTTACAAACACAAAAGGAAGAAGAAATACAGAAAACAAGAGATGTGGCTGGCTATACCATCTCCTGGCAGCATGGGGTAGAAGACAATAATTGTTTCCCCATCACCATCAGCTATAAATTTGCCACTACAAGAGCTCTTTTCCCACAGCCATGGAATACTTTACCCACAAACTTTTTGGTGTATCTGCCGTTGCTCTTCTTTATGCAGTTATGAACTACTGCAAATGGACTAAACAAGTACAAAAAACAAAAAGGGCAGGAGGAGAAGTATCAGGTTTTGAGTTTGACAGTTAAGAGAACTCACAAGGACTTTGAAAATCTCAGGTTCGGTTCCCTGCCCTGGATAATATTTATTTATAAAACACAAACTGGCTTCACTGGGAAGTCTGAAAGACTCTGGAAGGAGTTCTGAGAGTCACTCACAGCCCAAGCAAGTCTCTCCCTCTTTCTCTCATTTTCCTTCCACGGGGAAGCATGAAGTGCTCCGAACCCTCTGCAGACCAGCCATGGACCAGGAGCTGTCCCTGACATGCACATCCCTCACAGGAGGAGGAGATCTGGGGTATCAGCAGGGTCCCCTGTGTGTGCACACACATGTAGTTCCCTTGGCAGGGCCACTGCAGCTTCTGCCCCTGCTCTGTGGGACAGGGAGGACGCCCACTGTGGGATCTGCAGCTCACCAAGGGAGGGAGTACAGAGATCTAGAGCTGGCGAGCAGGCAAGGCCCAAGATGCAGAAATACAAGAAAAATATTTTTCAAATTACTATGAATGCATGAACTGGAGTGGGCTAAAATTGTTCCATGGCTTGGGTAATTGTAGCCAGTCCAGCTAAGTCAGGTTTGAAAGGGCCTTTCTAATCAAACACAGAGATCAATGATAATAAATAATGGAAAACTTGGGCAATTCAGGGAATGGAACTGGGTCAAGATGGTTGATCCCCTGTCTCAGGCTATAAGAGTGAAACAATAATAGAGCTTCAGAGACCTGCAGCTCACTCCATGAAAAATGCACTCAGTCCCTTTCCCAAGCCATTTCTTTGCTTTTCTCTCTCTCATATTTCTCTTTTTTTCCTTCTTTTTATTTTCCTTTTTTTTTTCTCTTTTTCTTTTTTTTTTCTTTTTTTCCTTTTTCTTTCTCTTTTTCTTTTTCTTTCCCCCTTGATATGGAATGTGATTCTGATGCCTATTAATCAGTTTTGGTTACAGTAGCTCAGTATTTAGAGCAAAGGCCAAAGGGAAAACTTGCACGAGTCCTACCTGGATTTTTGCTTACTGACTCTTTCATTACGAAAGTAATTCTGACAATGCAGTTAGATGGGGAAGACGTACAAGAATTTCACACTTTTGGGTCCCTAAGATTGCCCCTTTGTGAGCCTTATTTAAATTCCTACTGTTCTCTTTACCTCTGATCTTACCAGCAGCAACACGGTAAGCTTCAGCATTTTATTTTGGTGGTCTGTCAACCACATGGAGCCAACAGAACCTACAAGCTCTTTAAAAAGCTTTTCTCGTCTGAGTTGTAGCAGTCTCTGGGGCAGGATCTCACCCGAGATCACAGAAATGCTGGTGGTGAGCTTGCAAGCTTGTACCCCTTAACATGGTATCAAAGACTGCCCGACATCGTGGCAGGAACACGGCAGAGGAGATCTGAGAATCCCCAAACCAACCCTCCCCTTCCCCATCAGTGCAAGTTTGGAGAGCTCCCTTAACAACCAGCCCTGCGCTTGCTTCCCTAATTGCTTCTTGCCAGGAGGAGGAACAGAGTTCCAAACGCTGCAGAGACACCGTGGCACCTCAGCCTCCTGCTCTCCTGGTGATACCCAGCTAGGCCAGGAGCTGAGCACTTCTGTCAGCTGCAGCTCAGGGTTCGCTCAGCTCACCACAAAATCCCTCTGGCCAGGTCAGGCTGTCTGCTGGTGATGGTGTTTGGAGGGGTGTTGCTGTAGCCCCTCAAATGATCCTCAGGTGAGGCTTGCAAGAGGCAAACCTGGCCAAAGCACCACCTTCACCTGCCACTGTCCCCTGCCTTACCTGGCTCAGCTGTGGTGATCCTCCTTGTGGTCAGGGTTTTCTCCAGACCCACTGAGGCTGTAATTAACTTCTCAGCTGTCTTCCACGGATGTGAGGCTCCGTCCTTGGGGAAGGCAGTGCCACTGCGCTAAAGCAACTGGAGTGGGTGAATCCTTTCCCAGGTGCCTTGGATCTTTGGAAATGCTGCAACAGCCCAGGGCCCACAGCATTCCTGGGTGTGTTGGGGCTAACCCGGAGCCGCCGTGCTGGGCTGGGTTTTACCAAGCTCAGATTAAGGACCCGAGGCTCTGTGCGTGCTGCGGTGAAGTTCAGCGCAAAGCAATGTCCTGTCGTGGCGCCAGAACACGCTGCTCGTCCAGGGTGCTGCCGACAGTCCGGGCTGAAGGTAATTCCCAGCTTTTCAGGGCTGGCCCTGGCTGAGAATAGCAAACATAACTCAAAAAAGCACTATCACAATTGCATGTTCACTGGGAAGGGGAAAAATAATCAAATGAAAAAGGACAAAATCAGCAGGGAAAGAAAATTTATTTCCAAGCATCTATGAGAGTGCTACAAACAATAGAGACTAAAACTCAAAGCATTTGAAACTATTAAAAAATGTAGTTGACAATGTCCTTCTTAAAAATTAAACATAACGTAGAAAATGCAGTTATTAATTCTAAAACTTGCTCAAAAGTGAAATAAATCCAGATAGCATCAATGAAGATGGAGTCCTACAAATTACCTTTTTTTTTTACTTTATTTCAATTTGTTAATTTTCAAAGTGATACTCATTTGCTTTCTCTTTTTTTTTAATGTTTATTTAAATTTATAATGGAGAAATGTGCAAATCTAGCAAAATATTCTTTGGATTATAAACAGAGAAAAATCAGCAACCAAAGAAATTTGAACCAAGTTAATAATAAGCTATAGAATTATATAGAATGCATACAGCTATAATAAAGTGAAATATTACAATAAACATTGTAGAGCAAATCTGCTAATTTAGCAAACTCTGCCTTATAAAACATAGGGATATAATGGGACAAGTGAATATGTTAGGGATGTAGAGCTGAAACATCAGTCATCATTTTTAGGAGTTAAATTTTAATCTAACTACATATATGGGGGGTCTTCAGAAAAGCAACACACCAACAAGTCAGATTTCCTCTCAGATCAAGCAGTTTAGTACCTGACTGCAAATGAAGGACAGGGTCTGTAAAACAAATGTAGGAAAATGTAGATAATTTTTACTTATTGCCTCTTCCCATATTGCAGCTGCTGATCTCTGACCCTAAACAGCCAACTATATTAAATTCAGCAGAGATACAGCTGTACACAGATGCAGAAGATGTTGATGTGCAGAACATACCCCAAACCCTTGCTTCCTCTGAACTAATACTTAAAAGAAAAAAAAAAAAAGTTATAAATCCCTTTTTGGATTAAAAACATGCATTACAAAGAACAATTCTGAAAGCTTTCTGTATTTCTGTCATCACAAATTAAAATGTCTCCCTATCTGCAGATAATGCTATTCTGCTGGAAATTAGAAGAAAAAAATAAAGCCAAACAAACCATGCCCCACCCCTCCCAAAAAAAAAAAAAAAAAAAAAAAAAAGCCAAAGGAAAAATAGGAATTAAGTACCAGAATATTAATTACTACTCAGGTAAGGTAATTCAGGTAGAAGAGTCCTTAGGGAAGTCACAGCTAAACTGGGTCAGATTTCAGTCTCTAGAACCTGCAGAAGCTCAGCACAGATACGGAAACTCACAAGGCTGGAGTAAAGTGTAAGCACAGAGTACTCCCGTCCACCCAAAAACTGATGAAGCCTTGGGAATCTCTAAGATATAAGATAAATGCTATTACATGGGAAATATTGAAAAATATTACACTTAATTTAATCCAGAAAACACAGTAGGACTATATGATGATTCTTACTGTGTTCTGGGAGCAGCCACAAGCTGTAGATAGAGAGGGTACAAAATGTTCACCAGACGTTACATTTGTTTTAATCTAAAAAACATTTGTAAAATGTACTTGATTTTTAAATAATCACTTAACAAGGCAACAAACCAACTACAAACACATAATAAATAAGGCTATTAAAAGGTCACAATTGTAGTAAATTAGTCAGAACTATAAATGGGACATTAGAAACACTATGTTTTTCCTTATATGCTTAATAACCAGAACAAGAATTAAAAAAGAATCAGTTTATTTCAAAGTCTGCTTCTTATATTGAAGCACATATTAAAGCAACAGTACAATGTTCATAAAATATAAGTGTGATGCTGTAACATTTCTTACATGTCAGAATACTGATATTTGTATGTATACTAAAATAAGAATTTTAAAATTGTACAAATAGATACATTAAAAATGACATAGAAATAGGGTGCCTCCCACCGAACAAGACAGAGTTTTTATATCTGGCACATATTAGTTTAAGATGAAAGAATAAGCAAAAAGATTTACAAGAATCAGCAGTAACAAGTTTGATGCTCAAGAGACATAATAATTGTACATTGTACTGTACATACATCATATGGGTTTAAGCTGGCTGAATATTATATATTTCAAGTTTAAAAACGCACTACCATATAGAGTGTCCATAGTTTAAGGCGAAATTACAGCTCAGAACTGTTATCTTTTCTAATTTGTGGAAGCTTCTTTGAAATAAAAGATTTAGATGTTCATAACACGTAAAAGATTTCCCTTATTTGTAGGTTTGCTTTTAGCATTTTCCTTCATTTAAATATTTCTCATATCTTAAGTGGGTTTTTTCCTTCAGTGAAGCTGGCAGCCAGCTTCCAGATTTGCCTTTTGTAGGAAAAGGTACTTCACAGTATTTACCACTTTCATGTCCTTTTTCATCAAAGGAATCCTCTCTGTCAAACTTAAATGTTTAAATGAGATTTTTCTTGATTTTTAAAAAAATACCTGCTTACATTTCCTCTGGATTCTTCAGAACTTCGGACACAGTTCTTAAGGCCAAATCTTAAACTTTATTGTTAAGAATCGTCATCAAAAGTGTCTTTGGAGCCATACAAGTCTGCAAGTTTCTTAAATCGAGGTCCCCAGTTTTGTAGATAGTCGTAGTCCAAGTCAGAATCTGTTGTTGCTGACTCCAAGGAGCTGAGGGACCCAGCCACGGAGCCCCTGCCCTCGTAGCCATAGATCTGGATGGAGTCATAGGGAGGGGCAGTGGGGTCGTTGTCGGCCTCCTGTATCCTGGTGTTGATGAAATCGTCCACGTCCACGCTGTTTGGCGCGGGCCGCAGCCCCGGCCTGGGCAGGTACTGGTACTCGGGCTTGATGTCCTTGCGCGGGATGAAGCCATTGATGCCGTCGGGGTTCTGCAGCGTGGCGATGTCGAACGCCTCCGTGTCCTCCTCGCCGCCGCCCTCGTCGTCGTACGTGATGATGTTCTCCCGCACGTCTTCCTCCTCAAACACGATCAGCGGCTCCTTCTTCTGCCTCTTCAGGGTCACGAACAGCACCACGATGACTGGGAAAACAAAACATAGGTTAGACTGCGCTGTCAAACAGCAGCGCCTTTGTAAGTAATTATTGCGTCCCCGAGCCCTTGGCTTTTCTGTTGGATTGTTGCAAACTTCTGCAATTTTAGTGCTCCTTGCTAGGTAAAAGCAGAGATGTTTGTACACAGAACTAAACACACTGATCTGAGGCTTTCTGTCTGAGCTGCATGCCAGTGCTCTTACTAATTGCTCATTACTGCAACACTAATTCAAGGGAAGTGTTTGTGGGGCCTCAAGTGCTGCAGAGTACTGTGACACTGCCTTTGAGCAGCCCAAGCACATGAATATCTGCAGCAAAACAAAGATTAATCTTTATCCTCTCCTGTATGCCCAAAGCTTAACTAGTTCCAGTGTGTCATTTCCATTAAAATGGAATTTTTTTAAGCAACACCTTCAAAGATGTGTTTGTTTTGCATTCTCACTTCAAATTTCTATAAAATAAAATATCTGGAAAAAAAAAGAAACACTATAAAATATTGCAGGGAAATTAGAAAATATTGTGTAATTTTTTTCCAAATCATCAGGAAACATTTCACAGCAATTTCTTAAAAGCAGGTCTTCCAAGTCACTCATCTGGTTTCAACACAAGATGGGTTTGAGGGAAATAGCTGTCAGGGGCCATTAATCCTGGCTGACCTCAATAAGGAACTTGTCAACCAGGGAAGAACACAAAACTTAGAACTGTATGTCATGACCTCCTTTAAGCAGTGTCCCTGATTAGCTGGCATTAGGCCACGGGACAACATTCTCTGAGCACATCTACACAAATCCATTGGTGTTTGTTATTGAAGATATCACAGAAGCCCAGAATGGTTTAGGATGGAAGAGACCATAAAGCTCACCCACTGCCGCCCTCTGCCAAGGGCCTTCCACTGTCCCAGGCTGCTCCAAGCCCCAATGTCCAACCTGGCCTTGGGCACTGCCAGGAACAATTCCTCATTCCCAAGATCCCATCCAGCCCTGCCCTCTGGCTCTGGGAGCCATTCCCTGGCTCCTGTCCCTGCAGCCCTTGTCAATTGTCTCTCTCCATCTTTCCTGGGGCTCCTTCAGGCCCTGCAAGGCCACCCTGAGCTCAGCCCAAAGCCTTTCACAGCCAGGCAGATCAGCACTCCCTATAAAAATAAAAAGCTAAAAAACTCAGATTCATTTCTCCATCTTGGAGCTGAGGGCAGGATTACTTTTCTAACGCAAGCCCAGAGCAGCAGCACGGAAGGAGCATTTTTCACCTAGGAGAATGACGATGCAGGCCAGGATGGCGATGAGGGCGCCGGTGCTGAGCCCCG